CAAAAGTTGAGAGCAGCTGTTGATGTTTATTAATTAGCCACTTAGAAAAATTGTAGCAAATCAACAACAAATCTTGCAAATAATAAAACAGAAAAGAAAGTGGCTTTTAATCAAACAAATTCGATTTAAAACTGGGAAATTTCATAAAAAATATGAAAAATATGCACATAAATAAAATTTTATTTGTGATTTGCCAGCAGCAGCACACAAAATACCGCAGCCGATAAGGAATCTGGTCCAATTTTTGCTTTACTTTAACTGGAATTTTATGAACTAATCTTCGACGAAACATGATTTCGCCTGAGCATAGATCAGACCACAAGCCAATGCGCGTGCCTTCGCCAGTTTGACGAGGTCCAGCAAATGCCCATCTGTGTGGCTACCTCACTGGCTAACTGAAAGAGTGCCGAATGACTGAGTGGCTAAGTGACGCAGAGGCCGCCTCAAGGTAAACACTGTGGTCGGTTTAAAAGTTGACCAAGTTTTGCAGGAGCAGTTAGCCATTCTGTGTGGCACGAGGGTAGCTAGATTATGGCCTGAAGTTCGGCGTAAAAAGTTAATAAACAACTCAGCAAAAACTTGCTGACAACCGCTAAGACAAATTCGACTTGCATTTGTTAGCAAAGTTGAGGCTTTTAATTCCAGGCTTTCGACTTTCACTTGCGCATTTGCGAACTGATAAATTTGCGAGCTACAAACCCAACGCCACGCTCACTTACACATTAATTCTTATCTGATTTTGACAGTAGTTTAATAAATCGTTTGTTTTTTTTTTATATTCGATTTTTTCGGACATTGATATATTTCTACAGTGCTCAGTGTTGAAATTTATATATTCTGTATTTTACAATAAAAAAACATAACATGTTTATTGTGAAAATAAATTTTGGTGACGGTATCGTAAATCAAAATGTATTATCAGAAATATTTCTACAAAAATAAATATCTTATTTTTTTAGTCAGCGACATATACAACACAGTTCCATTCTCAGCGCTTATATCAAAAATATTCAGATATATATCTTTAATTATTTTTGTTAATATTACATATGGAAATATCTTTATAAATATAAAAAATAAATATATAAATTAATTCAAGAAAGGATGCCTACTGTCGTTTCGCATCTGTATAGATGCGAAACTTGATTAGTATTCAAAAAGATCTTAGCGAAATGACTAGTGTGGGTTAACAAATGCTTTCATACCTTCAAAATTCACTGACCTAAAAATAAAAAAAAAACAGAAAAAGCTTCGAAAAAGCTACAAATAAAGAAGATCTTAGAATAATATCATTAAAATAGCAACGATCAAGATAGCGAGTTGTATTATATACGATATGAACTACAGAAGTACTATTTGACATGGTTTGAAATAGCGATTGCTACTCACAAAATTGAGTTCTCTGGAAAGATACACTGAGGGCGCTTGCACCCTTAGAAAATTTTCACCCAATTTTCACCCAAATGCTTTAATACTTTAACAAATCCAAAGTTAACCTTTCAAACTATTCATTTATAGTTTTTAATAGCGCTCAATAGATACAATATACCATTTTCTTTCTTTCTAATATTCTATATTTCTTTATTTCTAAATTTCTTGTAAAAGGTAATTATAAAAGTTTTAATCAACTAATTAAATGTAAATTACACAAAGTATAATACTTATATTATAAGATAAAATTATAAAATCAAAGGTCAGGTTTATTTCACTTACGTATAATAACGTATCCGTTAGCTTATTTTATCGATATGAGTCTATCTATACACATATATGTGAATGTTTTTAAGAAATGCGTTGTCTCATTTGGTCAGAATTTGAGCAGATCTGTTATCTAATAAAATTCCTCCTTCTATTAACTAATTACATTTTTTATGTTATAAGCAAAAAATACATTTAATAACAAAATAAATCATTTCTCATACTTGGAATACTTGGAAAACGAGCTTAAATTTTAAGTAATTGTCAGCAGTTCAAATCTACTCTAATTAACAAGCTAAGATAAGTAGCTTAAGTCGGAATTAAAGTCGAAGCATTCACGTTGCTCTTTCTCAGCTACGAATTTTAGACCTTAAAACCGAAAGCACAAAATCCAAAGTACCAGAAAAGATAGAAGAGATTAAAATAAAAATTATATAAAAATGTAACGTTAAAGTAAAAAGCATAACAGCCTGTGAAATGCTAAGTGCCTTAAAGTTGCTTTTGCTAAAGATGATGTATAGTATGCGTTCGTACCTTAAACTATAATTGTATCTATAGATGTTCATATGAAATGTTTAACTAAAATCTTAACACGTCAACACTTAACTTTTAGCTAAGCCCATTTTATGCGGCAACTCAACGCCAATTTTACTAAATATAACATTTGATTGAATTACTTTACGTAATTGTATCTGCAACTTCAACTTCAACTTCAACTCCAACTCCAACTTTAACGTCAGCTTCAGTTTTAGCTATGAAATATGCTATCCACACTCGTATGGCAATTTGTGTATCTGTTTGTGTGTTAGCATCACTAACTGCTAGTTACTAAATTCTTTCTTTTCTGTTTTGTGGCTGTTTTTTTTTTTTTTTATAAATATATTCAATGTTTTTATATTCTTGTTGCTCGTTTTGTTTTATTTCGAAAAATTATTATTTAATTCGCGTAAAAATGAGCACGTGATTAGTAGACACAATATCGACGTACTTTTATGCTCGGTTGTTAATTTAGAGATGCGTGTCTGCTGATACGCGTATTGTATCTTTAAGATACATTCTAAGCTGTACACACAGCAAGGCTATGTATATTTCTTATCGCTGTGCTTGCATCTCATAAACTTTTGGTTTCAATTTGAGTTTTTATTTGGATCTTTTTGTGAAACACGTAATTTTTTCTTCTTGTTGAAGTGAATTACAATTTCATTGCCCACTTGTGGTCCACTCATGAAAATTGGTGCTTTTTGGTTTGTGTTAACCTTGAAATGTAGCAATTTTTGTTTCAAATTCACTCTTGATTATTGTTTTTGGATCGTGCTCAGTTGTAGTTTGTTGTAGTTGTCAATCTTTGAATTTAATGAGTTTAAATTGATGCTGGCCATTGAAATATATCACAAATTATTTGCAATTTTTTTTGTGTGCAATTTTCTTTAAGTAAAGTATTTGCTAATGTATCTTATAATTTTTGTTAATTAAGAAATCTATTCGTTTTAACGAAAAACCATTCTATTCGTTTTGCATAGCTTCCTTTTTTTATTTAAGAAATCTTTGGAAAGTGCTAAATAATGAACTTCGTAAAAAATAATCTCTCCACTATCAAATCTATAGTCATGCTTAATTACCAAATTAATAAAATGCCTATATTAAAACTAATTCGGTTGAGCAGTGGTGTTTTTTATTTTTTGCATTAATTCATCAGTTATTAGTAAAGAGTTACTTATAAAACTTATAAACTGTATTGAAATGGTATATTAAAAATTACTAGAAGAAAGCACAAATGTCATCTCTGCCTGAAGCTTCTAGACATATGTTTCGGAACGATCTACATTTAAATTATATTTATATGCAAAACCAAAAAAAAACCTAACGTATTAGATATATTTTTCAGCAATTATAATTTTATTTCTCAGCTGTACTTTCATATTTAAATATGCAAAGATTCTTAAATTGGCTACACACATTTTTATGAAATTATACTTTTATTTTCTTAGTGCTGTTAGCTGCTATTTTTTATTATATCATTATAGAATCATTGGCTTTTTCTTTCTTTTTTTCTGTTTTTTGTTTTCTGAGCTAAGTTGAAAGAGTTCCCTGCATAATAAATACAAATTATGTTCTACTAGAATAGAAGGACAGAAGTTAGTAAGAGTAAGTCATATAAATTAAATTAAAGTCACTAAGTCATATTAGTAGTGTAATTTATACGATTTTTCTTTAAACACATTTTTAAAATTTGATTTAATTACTTTGGCTATAAATTACTTTACGTAAATGCTGTAAATTCTATTCAATAATGTTAGACTTATAGATTTCATAGTCCTTACAGTGAGTAATTCATCTATAAAATCCTTTAAAACTTGATTTTCTGAAGCAATAATTAATTTTCACAAATTTCATTTGATTTCAATACTTTTTATATCCACACACTAATAACAATTATTGTAGCAAATGAAATTATTTATAAATTTGCGGAATTCTTCAAATCAATTTAAAATTCAACAAAATTAAATTGCAATAAACAACCATAAAATATGCAAATTTTTTCGTGCCTGCTAGATTAACAATTTTATTTTCTGATCTGCTGGTTAAAATCACGTTCCCGTCTTCCGCTGCTGAGCTTCGTCTAAAGTATTTTGCACATTAACTCATTGTCAACACTTAAGCCGTGTTTATGTTACCAAAAGCAACTAACTTCTTTGCTTTCGGAGTATATTTCGTTCATAATTTTTTTGACATTCTATCTACGTCTTATAATTTCGTACCTCTCCAATCAATCCATTGCGATACTTCTCCAAACGTCTGTCTTTTGACATCAATCAAAATAGCGTTGAAGCAAGGCTCGCCGAAGTAAAAGAGAATGGTTGCCACTCGTACGTGTGGTTCATAAGTTTTGAACCACCACTGCAATGATGTGTTGCCAAACTCATTCGAAACTGTCAAAAACTCCTCAAGTTACTTAAATTCGCTGTTTGCTCTCAATCATCGGTTAGCTGGTCAACATGAATAAATTAAATCGTTTGATTTTCAAAATTATTATTGAAATATATTTATTGTTTTTTTTATTCCGATTTACTTTGTCTACTGTAGTAAATATTGTACTATTTTGAGTAAAACTTAATCAACGCATTAATTATAGATCTGCACTACGTCAAGGTGAAATTATGCGTAAATATTACGCTTGATCTTAAGCCTAAAATATTAAATACTGTGTTCATAAGAGCAGTTTAGAGTTCAAGTATCTTTCAACCATGTTACATTTTAAAATAAATTTTATATTAATTCTGTTTTCCTCGATCATTCCAGGCAAACGCCCAAACGAATTAACGAATTACGAAACTACTAATCTCCAACCGCCACAAAATAACTTGCCAGCATATCATCAATTACCTGCTGATCTATCGGAGGAGAGCATACGCAAAGAAGCTGCACTAGTATTAAAACAAGCCGAAAGTCATCAAAGTAAAGCCGAGAACGGTGATAATATACCAACATTCAAGGTCAAGACCAAACGAAACAGCAGTAGCAGTATTAACACCACAAAGGACACGAATCCTAAAAAATTTCACTCATTACCGACACGTAAGAAAAAAGCACCGACTAAGCCAGTCGCACGTAGTTCCAGTGACGCAGCTGCTAAGAAATCTGCCAAACGGCCGTCTATCTTTAATATTTTTAGTCGAAAAAGTGACACGAATGTCAATCAAAGTGAACGTGACCCACGTTTTGAGGATAGTGGTGGCAGAAGATTAGTTCGAAGCAAGAGTGATGTCGGTTCGTACAACCGTGGCGAACGAAAATTAAAAAAAGCCTTGAAGGACTCAAAGCCAACACATAACGGTTCGACAAAACTATTGCCCACACAATTAAGTCCAATTATTGAAAACACGCAGAGAGAAGACTATTTCGCGGAACAGTTCAATCGAGAAAGACGCAAGTCGGATGCTATCACTGACCGTGAGAAGTATGAGAGCGCTATAGAAGAATTGCTCCACCGTAGCGAAGTAAAAGCTGAAGTTGATGGTAATATATTAGGTAAAAATCCAATTTCGGCAGGCATAAAAGACAAAATTTTAACGCTACAATCTAAATCAAACGAAAACATGCACAGTTCACAGTTACCGGCGCAAAAGCTGCCTCTGACAAAGGGTGTTACTGTAAATGGAATGGTAAAACGATTATCAATGGAACGTTTCTCACCTCCACCAACTATATCTGGTCCAGCATTTTCTTATATACGACCAAATGAAGGTATCACTTATGCCCAGCTTGACTTGAATGATGAACATCAACAAAACACACTACAACGAAAGGAACGTTTACTCTCACCCACACGTGAAATACGTACCCCTGTTAGGGAGTATAGATCTCCTGCGAGAGACATACGCTCACAAGAGCGAGACTTTCGTTCCAATACTAATAATAGCAATTACAATAGAAATTCAGTAGATCGTACAGAATTTGTAACTAGTCACAATAACAGTAAGCAAAACAGTAGTAGTCGAGTCATAATTGAGTCACCAGCACGTACACGCAATTCCTTTTCACCTATAGCAGGACCGACTACTATACGTATTTCGAGTTCACATTCCCCTTCACCATGGCAACAACTAAGTCCACGTAACTTAAGTGATGAAGATGAAGGGCTTGGTATCGAAACTCGTAAATATTATGACGATGAAACTTTAAAAACTCGTAGCAAATCACCCGCTGAGCCACCAATTGTGCCAGTCATACGCAGTATAACGCCAACACGAGAAAATAGCTACGAAAATCAACCCTACCGGTCACCATACCGTGATGAACCAGCTGATGATTTACGATATCGTCGAGCACGCTTAGAATCACGCATATTAACACGCCGATTTGGTGATATCGGTACACCAGAACGTACAATTGACCATCAGCCACGTTCTAAGGGATACCATTACAGCAATTCACCGGAAAGAAATAGAGATCTACTACAATCTCAAACCACTCATCATCGATATCTGAGTCCAGATCGTGAACCGTATGAGCCACGTTTCCATAAACCAGCAAGTGATGAAATTTTACAAAAATATTCTCCAGAACGTTCACATCTAGATATAATATCGCCTACTACAAAAACAACTACAACGTTGATGAATACATTACCTAAAATGGAAAAAACCTCTCGTTACAAGCATACTAAATACTACGATGATGGCAGAGGTGGGGTAAAGGATGTATATGAACGTGAAACACATCTCGATGCAGATGGTAAGCCACATGTACGTGAATCGAGACATCAAGAACGATTGGATTCTTTTACTGGTCAGCGAGACCAGTCCTCACTCGAGGGTCAACAGCTTACAGACTATGAACCGAAAAGTTTAGATTCACAGTTCACCAGCACCGATCAGTATCGTTCTTCGCCAGAGAATATGAAGAGGTACGAAATGAGCATGGAACGAAACTTGCCACGACAGCAGCACAGTAGCGAAGACCACTGGCACAGCAGCTTGAAACGGGATAAAATGCAACAACGAAGTTTCGATAAGGGTGACTCCGGAATTGAAAACGATTTTCGAAAAGAATCTTTTAATGGTGACTTGACAACAAGGTGAGTATAAAAACTTTAATCCAACTGATATATAAAAAGATAGGGATAGAACTAAGAAATGCAAAAATGAAAGAACATCAATATTTTCCGAGATTATGAAATAGTAGTTAACAAATAAAAAAATTTTATATTTTAAAATGAAAAAGTAACATTGTTTAAAGTCATAGCGATGCTTTGATATAAAGTTTAAATAAAGAAAAGGCATTTATTTTTATGTGATCTAATAATCTAATTCTAATATATATAGGTAGAGTATAATTTAAATAAGTTGTATAAATGTTTTTAGTTTCGGAGAGGAAACAAGAAATTGACTTAAACTTTATTTTCACTTTTTTAGATTCAAGTAATGAACTACTTCAAATATTTTGGACTGTTAACAAAACAGTATACGAGTATATTGTATAATATATATTAATTACCATCATAGCATATATTAGTTTAAGTTAAAAGTGTCCTATATATACAGCAATGATCGATATTGTTCAGAATATGCCAACGTTAAAACATTTACGTACTTTCTTTCATCTTTTAAGATTGCATTCTTTCTTTGCGAAACTGACACAAATCCAGACCCTTTCATTAAAATTCTTTATGTATCAATTAATTTTAATGTATGCATTTTAGATGGCGTAAACGTACGGTTGTCGACGACATGAAAGCCTGTGAAATGTTTTTGAAAAAAGAACGCCGCCACACTGAACAACAGCACGTAACACGACGCAAAGACAATTATGTTTATCGCGAACGCTCCATCGATGATGGCTCACACTATGACCCACATTTGGACAAATATCCGGTGGCGACTAGTACTCTGCGGCACAAAGATCAACACTCACAAACCGTTCAAGGACAAGAAACGCTCAAGCGAAACAAAAAACTTGGCGGATTCGAGAAAGTCAAACAACTTTTTACCGGCGGCAGTGGCGGCGGTGGAGGCAGCGGTGGCAGCAGTGGCGGTAGTAACACCTCCAAGAAAGAATCAGAGCGTCATGTGCGAGCCAACAGCAGCACCACCAGCAGCGGTGCTCAAGCGACATCCAAAGACAAAGACAAAGACAAAGACAAATACATGGTTAAAGAGGAAGAGATGCGTTTGCGGTATCGTGAACATCGCGGCGCTATGCAGAATGAAGCAATGCGCGAACAAAAGGTGAGTGAGTAAATGGTTTAGTACAAGTACTCGCAAGTGGCTTCAGACAGTTCAAGTATCTGAATGAGTTTGAGTTTAGTGAATGGATGCGAAGCCGGCTTAGTTTCGCAGTTTGCATTTAATTTGTGTTAATTTTAAAATAAGGTTTTTTCTATTTATTTGTATCGCTTAGTTCACATCTTCAAAAAATGTTTTTTGTTAAAGCATCAATTCTTTTATCTATTGAACTCAAGGTAAAGTTACTGTCTTGCTCATGGTTAAAAATGGCTAAAAATTGAGGAAAAAGAGTTCATTGCACTCTTGCCAAACTATTTCATGTCTGTGGTTTGGTTTGCTTTGGTTTGGGTCGATTTGGATTACAATTATTCTTGTTGATGCGTAACTTTGTTTGCTTAGCGAATTGATCATTAACGATAATTTGGTCATGGGAAGTTATTAATAATAATATTAAATATACCTGTAATACAAAATAAACAAGGTGGTCTAATCAAATCCATTCGGTGTTAAAAATTATATTAGCCGAAGGCAGGGAGTTTTTAATGTTGGTTTTTAATTAGCTTAATTATAAATAGAACATTAGGAGGAAATGAAGAAATCTTATTTAGATTGGGAAAAGAATAAGGAAAGATATATAATAAATTCTTATATATTTTTGCAGGTTACATGATTTGTCAGTTGGCTACCATTCATGTCCCAATTTAGCTCTCAACTTGGCTCCTAAAATTAAGCGTTTTGACATTATTATAATAAGGTCCTTAATGAGTTACAGAGGTACGAGTATTGCAAAATGATTATAGAAATAGTTTTGTGAAGACAACGACACCAAATTTTTAGAATTACTCTCCATAGAATTTCAATTATTGAACTTAACCAAATATTTTTCGTTTTCATCGATTGTAAGTGATTGATTTTAAAAGATATAGTAAATTTAAATTATTTGAGGTACAAAATAATCATTCGATATATATTCCTTATAATATTACAGATTCTGTGTTTTATCAATAGTTTTTTCATCAGCTGTAAGGTATTCTATAGTAATTAAATACTAATGCACTGCTCTGTATGCTAAACGTTTATCATTAGGTTCACTGGGTCTATAACTAGCAAGTGTTAGATGTAGAAATCAAGCACTGTGGAATGTGGAGACGTTCTAAAATATCAATAGGGACTTGTTAATATTTATATTAAATCTCATAGCGCTCTTCATATAACACATGTTGGCCATTGTTATAAGATAGTACTGCAGTTTGGGTATTCTGGTGATAGCTGTCTGAATGTTAAAATTCATTTGTATTTTGCGTCGCAAACGTTCTAATTAAAACTTGCATTTTCTTATAATTATCAATAATAATCTGGCTTAGTAAAGTTTTTTGCCGAAAAAATGACACTTTTCTTTTGGAGTATTAGAATAAATTTTACGAATATGAAACTAAATGAGATATAGCACTTTTGATTTAAAGTTGTTTTAATTCGTATAATTTGTGTAACGTTTTAACAAATTTCCGAATTCCTTCCTTATTTATTTCGGCATATATTGTAAAATCTTCTGCTCATTGTCTTCTCAATTCCTTTCCATACCTTGCAATCGCTCCGTTCAATTCATTCATGTGATTATTGTATCAAAACGATCTTCTCTATAACAGAAATGGTGTCAATATGTCATTTAGTAAAAAAATTTGCATAATGTCTTAGTGAAGTTATGCAACTTTAGTGCAAACTTGCCATCTTATTTCATGGAGGCAACAAACCACAATGGGCTTTTGAGTTGTTGCATAAGGCGTCCTCTTGTTTCCGTGCACATCTTCATCTCCTCAACCACTGGCTCACGTAATGTGGCATGCAAATTGTGTTGCTACTACTTCAGCTATTACCGATGCACGAGCAGTTGACCGTGGATGGGTTTTGTTACTCTTGTTGTTGTACGCTTACACATTTCGCACCTATCAACCATTCAATGAATCCTATTAAGTAACTACAACAACCCCAGCAACTGCAACAACTACAACAGCTACAACAACCACAACAATAGCAAATTTTATGTGTTGCTAGCGTGCAGCCTCACAACTTTAATTTTCACTTTTTATTATGCCATCATTTCGGTTGCTCGACGAATAATGGCCTGCAAGTGATGATTGTTAGATTGTTGGGAAAGATCAATGATCTTTCATTTAGAATTATCTTAAGCAACATGAATGAAGTTGCCAATAGATGCGAAATTTTTTATTGCCTTGTTTTGCACGAAGCTGGCAAAATTCTGCTTCGTGGTTGTAAATCATATGCAGTTAGTTCACTTACTGATTATTTTTTATGGACTTGCAAATAGTGCGAATCTTCGGTGCTTCAGTATTTTCTGATTGCTCGTAAATGTGCAAACACATTCTATACCGTTGAAAAAACCTAGAATTAGCGTAAAAGATATCTAGCTGTGTGGGGATTAGTGGCGTGTAGTGCGAAAATTGTATGGATTACTGTTGAAAATGTGTACCTTCAACGGCACCTGCTGTTGTGGCGACTGAGACTTTCATTTAACTTCCTACTAACGTCGTAATAGTTAATGAATCTGTTATCTTTTAAATGTTTAGCTGTGCTATCCTTTTATGATAAAATAGTTTTATTAAATTAAAATTTTAAATTAAATTAGAAAACCATTAGAATTTCATTTAATTAACAAATAATCAATATCAAATTTATGAGTAACATTTTTTAAATATTTAAATTTACAAGCACAACGCATTGGACTATAAAATATGGAAAAGAATATCTAAGGAAATTATGAGTAGTAAAAGTAATCTAATCTAATCTCATATATAATTTATATAGAATACTATTTATATGTTTGGTTTACGTTTAAACGACATGTGAACTGCATTAACCGAAAAATAAATGTTTTAATTAAGATCTTGTATTCTCTTATCAATAGATGATAAAAACTCAAAATATCTAACATAATGTTAGTAATGAAAATTGTGTTCCTTCCAGTAATATTGGATTATCTTCCAGCATAGTATAGTACTTCTTGTATCAACATTAAACCACTGCATCTTAAACAAAATAAACTGTTTACAATGATTAACAATCGTCTTTGGTGTTACTCTACTACATTATGCCATATTCGCATAATATATGCATAAGTTTTCGTTCAAAAAATCATTTAATATGAAAAGTAATAATATGATTACATAATTTGACAGAATTATACTTATAATTTGGCAGAATTACCGAGTCCAGGTTACGTATAATGGTAAATCTTATCAACAGTTTATGGTTCTATTGCGAATTCCATGAGATGGTCTCTCTTTATTCTTATGACTTTATATTTCATATATCATATATATTTTTTAATAGTTTATATTTTTTTTTGTTGGAAATTCTTGAAATTTTCAATATCAGTTACTAAAAACTATTCAGCGGTTTCGAAGAAGAGTTTTCCAAGTATTGTAGCACTGCTTCTCCATAATACTGGGTATGTGCATAATAGGTAAATAAAATCTTAATATATCTGCCAGCCTATTAGCCGTAGCCTAATTATAAGAGAGATTATATTATTGAATTCTATTCAATTTAATTTAATTATATTCCAAGTTCTATATTATAAATAGTTACCAATAATTAGATGTAATAATAAATATCCAATATCCAAAAACATAGCTTTCTTCTCAGTTTCTAGAAAATATTTTTTAAATATAAAAAAAAATTTATTAGATTATATATCCCTTGCCTCAGCAATTAAAATATAATTTAATTCAAAGTATTATTGGTTTCCCATAGTTGAGATACTATACGTTGTACGTTGTTCTAAGAAAAATTTTTGAAAATGTGCTATCTTTAAGCATGTAGCGCCTACTCACAAATTTATGTTGTTTTTGTATCTCATAAACCGTTAAAGTTCAAAAGTGCTAAATTCCTAAATATGCTACAATTTGTATTAACTGCTTATAATGCCACCGATCGTTGCTGTTTGCTGCTGCATTTACTGTAATTTGTGGAGTTGAACACGTTTCGACTACGAAATTTCACGCTCAACTAACCAACGTGTCTAATGAAAAAACTACTAACAAAAATCGAAGAAATGAGCCAACATCCGGTTAAGTAGAAATCAAAGCCAGGAATCTTAACGAGCCCATTTAAACGATAACTGAGCTAGCGCATGCCCACTGATTGCAGCCATCCTCGTCTGAATGCAATACAAATTCAATATTAGATTAGATATGCCACGTACAGATACAAAATACGAAACGGTATGATGCAAACGATTATGTTGTAGCTACCAAGGCCACTTGTAATTGAAAACACCAACGAAACACAAAAAAATTGTGCAAGAAAATAGAAATACTTGCACACGCAATAAAAAATTGCAAATCTCTTGGAACGCCAAATGACGAGGCGAAGGTGGGTGGGTGGCTGTTGCATCTTTGAAGCGAACTCGTAATTAGATTGCAAAATGTTCTGCCAAAGCTTTCAAGCATGGCTAATTACATGAATGCAATTTAATTTAGACGAATATTTGTATTCGCAGCGATACTGATTTCATCAATCCGGACTTCACAACGATAGACTATAGAAAAAAAACTGTTAAGGAATTGCACTCTGTATTCATCTGCGATGGGAAGTTTCTATGTATTAACACTTCTGCTTACTTAACATTTACTCCATAAATGCATTTAAAACTTTTATCTTTTTATCTTGACTGAAATATTTCAATATCATTTCTAGAATTAATGGATTGTCACATAGATTCTCAACATATCTTTTAGTTTAAAAATGTTATAAATTAAATTTATAATTCTGCAAAAACTTCAGAAAGTAGTTTTGTGCGGTTCAGTAAACCTCAACTACTTCATAATAATATATAATTTTTTTATATCTAATAAAATATTTTTTATTTATTAAAATAAAACTCATTTTATGTTTCAGTTAACTATTTCATTTGCAATTTTGTTTTAAATTCATGAATTAATTTCTTCAAATTGTCAATGATTATTTGTGGTTATAAAATTTGA